AATCGACAAGTAGGAGGTGAACGGTCGCTAAGTCTGTCTTTAATAGTTTCTTTCCACTTTTTTAGTTGGTTCTTATCACGGTTGGCTTGCAGGACAAATGAATGGATACAGGAGATACACAACAAAAACAGTCTTTATTATAAATCTGTAACTCACAGGAGATCATATGGGGAAACATAGGAGAATGCCAAACCAGTATAATCCATAAACGAGAAACGAAAAAGAACTGAACGGAAACAGAGGTGTATACACATGAAAACCGAAACTAGGATCAATAGTTTAAATTAGTTTTTCATTTTCAGTTTTCATTTTAGTCATTTTGTTTTATTTGTATTAGTCAATATTGTTTTTAATGGCTATATAGTTTTTTTACATTTTCATTTCAGTTTTATTTTTAGTTATTTTAGTACATCAAGTTAAAAGTGAATAAATAATACATTAGAAGTTTCCCTGGCAACTACAGTAGCTAAAAAAAATACTACCATCAAAGTACCATCAAACAAAACTTTTGTCTTTCCTGACAACACTGCAAATGATTCATGCTCTGCAATAATTATTAGTTAACTACTGAGGGACTGTCACGTCTGTGTCTGTTTTGATCTTCTGTTGTCATTCTTAGGCTATGTTTACACGGAAACGATTCTGAAGAGAAAACGCGAAAGTGACGTTGCGTCATCACTTTTTATTCCGCGTTTAGATGAGTGTTTTGTGTGGGAAATCCGCGTGCAAATGGTGACGCAAAAGTGTGTGATTCAATGTAGAATGCACTTCAGGCGGCTAGGAGTGCATACTACAACAACACCAAGTCCACGCGCCTGCAGACAACCTTCACAGTCAAGTAGACTTTTGCGTTTTTACCGTGTACAAGGGAATGAAAACGCGGCAGTGGAGCGTTTTTAAGATTTCCACTCTGGAGGGTGGTTTCACTTTTTGGGGTTTTTAGCCTCAAAAACGCAGTCGCCGTGTAAACGAAAGGCACAGCCGATAAAATATTTTTACGTTTTCACCCGCAAGCGTTCTCGTATAAACAGGGTGGTTTCACTCTTTTGCGTTTTTAATAGAGGTCGACCGATTCATCGGATTTGCCGATTAATCGGCACCGATAGTTGATTGGTGGAACTATCGTTATCGGCAAAAATCCGCACCGATAGTTATTTCCTGGTTTCGTCCGTTGCTGGGGCGGCTGAGAAGTGCGCGCTGTCATTCATCATTACACAGTACGAGAGAGCTGAGAAGGGTCTGCTGGCATCATGCAGTACATGAGCGGCCTCTAGAGGTGTCATAAAAACTATCAACTGATGCCTCGTGTTGTTTATTTCGACACGTGACACTGCGCGCTAAACTGAGATCGCGTGCTGTGTGGAGAGCGGAGATCGCTGACATCTGATGCACGTGCTAAAGCACGGAGAGCGAAAAGGTACAGGGAATTTTGTCATATCATTATAAACGGATGAATTTGTTGACTAAATGCTGCATTAGTAGAGAAAGGACCGCACAACAGTATGTTTGTTTGCCTTCGTGAGTGGCTGAGAGGACGCACATTAGTAGTACCTCAAGCGGTTAAAACACTGACACAAAAATACACCTAAGTCCGACCCGAATGTTTAATGTCACAAATTGTTACCATCTATTTGCATTAGTTTATATCCAGCTGGTCACTTTGATGCATTCATTATGCAGCAACGTTGCATATAAGCTAGAGACGTATGATAGCAAACTTATATGTTCATACAGCCGACAAAAACAAACGAATCAGAGAAGCATTCGATTTCGGTTCTTTTTTCACCATCACTTTAATACATATTTATTTTTATTAAATATTCTTTAAGTTCTATAAAATACAGGGCTCCAGACTGCGACCAAATAGTCGCATTTTGCGACCAAAATTTGAGAGTGTGCAACTGAATACATCCAGTCGCACATGTGCGACCGGTAAATTTGCCACACGTTAAACGCATGGTAAAGCGTGGAAGGGACGCGTCAATGAATCCGTGACAAGAATAGTGCGATTAAACGTCTGTGGGAACATGAGAGACGGAGTGAGACGGAGACAAATATCACAACCTGATGTGCGTCTGAGCAATAAGCGATCTATCTACACGTTACCTAGCAGCGAATACAAACAAAGTGAAAGTGGAACTAAAATACTCAACTCGTATAGGCTATGCTTCACGGACCGTTGGCGTTTTTATTAGGTTGGACCAATAATAGACATAGCAGCGCATAGTGGAGCCCCCTGAACCACCGACAGTAATAAAGCCCCGAACTTGCCAGTCGCTGGTTAACACATTAATAACATTAACTAAGGTTAATAACTGCTGTTCATTGTTTGTTAATTAACATACTACATTTTTAAATTAAGGTTTTTATTTGTTAACCATAGTTAAAACTCTATGAACTAACATGAATGATCAAGGTGAAATTGTATTGCTCAAATATTAATGCTGTAAACATTTATATTGCATAATGCACATAGTTCATGTAAACTAGCTAATAAATCTTTGTTAACAAATTGGACTTGCAACATGTTATAGCTAAAGAAACACACATTTAACATATTTTAATGTTTAAATTATTTTCAGATGGCAAATTTTGTTATTATTTGAAACGTCTTTTTTATTCATTAGGTTGGCTTGAAAAAGAACTGTTAAACAGTTACATTTGGAATGTTTAATTTGTTATTTAGAGTATTATTTTTTTGTTTGAAAGAATGCCTTTTATGCCAGTTTTTTGTATTTTTATAATAAAGTTCAGCACCGTTTTACTTGGAGTGTTATGTTTGTTTTTATCCAGTATCAATTTTAAAAACTATCGGTTGATTAATCGGTTATCGGCAAGTACAGCCCAACCTAGCTATCTTTATCGGTAAAATCCAATATCGGTCGACCTCTAGTTTTTAAGCCTCAAAAACGTCGTCGCCGTGTAAACGAAAGGCACAGCCGATAAAATATTTTTACGTTTTCACCCGCAAGCGTGCTCGTGTAAACAGGGTGGTTTCACTCTTTTGCGTTTTTAAGCCTCAAAAACGCTGTCGGCGTGTAAACGAAAGGCACAGCCGCTAAAATATTTTTACGTTTTCACCCGCGAGCGTTCTCGTGTAAACAGGGCCTTAGTCGCATGTCTTTTGGTTCACATGTCTCCATGCCCACTGTCATTAGTTCATCTTCATCACGTGTCTTTTTAATTACATTCATCTGTGTCACCTGGTTTATCAGTGTCTGTATTTAGTCCCCTCTGTTCTGTCAGTCTTGTCTGTGTAATGTTGTGGTGCTACCTGCCAGCTTATGTCTCTATGAATAATTGTGATTAAAACAGTTTGTATTTGAACCTTTAGTCTTCTCGTCGTCTTCTGCCTGTACAAACCCTGACAGGGACGTGGCCAGTAATTTAAAAACTGAGTGAACCGTGATCGCTGGGAATTACTCCCACTACATCCTGAATCAGTGTTTACATCACAGACACTGCAGCTTTGCTCATTCTCCGATGTCAGCCCTCAATCACAGCACAATAACACCATCTTATGAACACACAAACATGCTCTGTTGTGGTATGAGCACCAAAAGAGGAGTTTAATTTACAACATGATTATAGATTTGCTCACTTTATTTCATGCAACTTTGTTCATACACACTGATTTCCCAATAATATTGTTTTTTTTTTATTTGTTTTGACCCTATAAAGCCTACTGTATAATATTTAATACCTGAATTTAAAGCCTCTAAATGATCAACACGATCAAAACTTCGCTGAAAAAACAGCTGTACACAATCTTCTGTCGCTGATTGAATCACACTTTTTTAGCAAGTCAAAGGCCTTTTAGTATAATTGTAAAAATGTCCACCTTCAGATCGTGGTGCATGTGTCTTTTTTTACAAAGTGAACGTAAAAATTATTTTCATAGTGTTACTAATATTTCAAGATGAACATTTCCTGGACTGAAACTGCATAGTTTTACTTGATTATCCAGTTTTTGGTGTTTTTTTTGTTTTGTTTTTTTAAATCGTGCAAATATATTAAATATGATCTATCAGGTTTTTGAGGAATGTTTATTCTCTCAATCATCAAATTGCAATGCATTATTGTATTTTGCCTTCCAAAATAAAAAAAACTACAGAGCTTTAATCCTAAAAAGCATTTAAATGATAGGTATATGCATTTTGCATATAAATGCAAACATTCTGTTCATTCAAGATCTCACTGATGTACATCACAAGCTATGATAAATAAACTGCACCAAATTTGATATTTTTGCCCAGTCAGTATTTTATTCGTCCTCGAGTATGAGCTCCATATTTTCACTATGAATCACAAAAGCCTAATATATCAAGTATGATCCAAAACAAAACACTACACAGACTTTTTTTCTATTTCTTTTTATATTTTGTCATAAAGGTTTAATAAACTGTTCAATTAAAAAATATATATTTTCTGACTATTATTTTATATGTCAGATTTACAGGATTAATGACAGCAGCACTTGCACTGCATGAACTCCATATTTGTGTAAAACCTGATGATCAGGTTCCCGTGATAATCCAAAGAAAATCAATGAAAGAACATCAGACTGTCTGTCCACACAATAAATGTCACAAATTTACTCATTTGTTTTGTTGACCTAGAAATAGTGTAGAGTGTGAAATTTAAAATGCTTTCCTTTGCTTTAAATGGTCAAAAAAATCCTAAAACAATCCTAAAACACTTATTTTTGAAGTTCAAATGAAAACCAAAATCCCATATTTTCAATGTGGACTTTTGGACTCCACTGTAAGCACCAAAATAAACAAGTAAGCACTTGAAAACTAGCTTTGTTTTAACCCGTAAAACCTGCTCTGACTGCTGTTGAAGACAATTTAAAAAACTAAAATCTAGCATGTAAAAACATGAACATTTGACATCCTCCAGTGAAAAATGACAGTTACGTCAAATTGAACACAAAACCGCCTATTGAAATGTCTGTGTAATAATTTGACAAACGCTAAGCAAACACAGCTGGCTCTTACTCTGAAGGATTTGGTGCTGGGGGACGGAGAGGAAGGCGGTGAGTCCGACAGGGACTTTCTGGAGCGAGAGGAAAGGTCCTTGCGCGAATAGAGCGATGACATCTCTCTCCTGGATAAAACGGACGATCCCTGACAAACGCAGGCACCGTTTCACACAGCTGTGCAGACGGCCATGACTGCAGGACGTGAAGTAGAAACGCTCAACAGGTGCAAACTTGTGCGTCCAGAGGATCACGCGGAGTACGTGTGTTTCGCGAGACTGACAGGCAATCTGTGTTTCTGTTCCTCCGCAAGGCACGGTGGTCATTAGAGAAAAATGAAAACAATTAGAAGTACCTCTACACTTCGCTATCTCCACTCCCTCTTTCTCTATTTCCGTCTCACTCCCTCTCTCACAAACGCATAAAAACAGTTGTGATCTCCTCCAGCTGATGTTCTCTCTCTGACACTCACTCATTCATGCGGACACACAATGAGAGCTAAATAAGGAGAGGACTTTTCTTTGTTAACTTTACAGACGACTGAAAGCCCTCCCTCTCTGTTCTGTCTACATACAATTACTCCACACAAACTCTGAAAGAACGAAACTGCTCTCACTCGGTCCCACTCAGCTCCGTCGCTCTCTCACAATCTCTCTCTCTCTCTCTCTCACAGTCTTTTCACACAGTTGTTTTCTCATATTCCTTCCCCTCTTACTCTGGCTCAGTATGAGGGGTTTTAAGTGTTTATTATATTTGACTAATTTAAACAAAAAGATTGTAAAAATGTTACTTTAAAAACCTGTTGAACAAACTTCAGAAGATTTAAAATACTGTGCATGTGGCATATTAAACACTTTAATGGGGCTTATTTTAGATTTTGAAAGTCTCAATCCCGGGAGTTAGATTATTAGATTCGCATTGGGGCGGCAGTGGCTCAGTGGTTCATGGTTGTCTACAAACCGAAAGGTTGGTGGTTCAATCCTCGGTTCCACCTGACCAAGTGTCGAGGTGTCCATGAGCAAGACACCTAACCCGAGCTGCTCCCGACGAGCTGGATGGCGCCTTGTATAGCTGACACCGCCGTGAATGTGAGGCAATATGTAAAGCGCTTTGGTGGCCATTAGGTCTATGAAAGCGTTATATAAATGCAGTTCATTTACCATTTACCAATGAAAAACCGCCTCTGTGACACCCACAGACAATTATGAAAATCAGGTTATGTCAAATGGCCTGGTCGACGCCCCCTTTCTATTATAAGGCTTTATGAATGAGGTATTCTGGAAGTACCTCACCACTTTGTCATCATCTACATCCATGTTATCCTTGTGTACACCCAGAATGAGACTGAACATCACCCCCATGTTGCGCTTGTGTTGGAAAGGCTCTGGAAAATCCATCTGGCTCCAGTGTGAGTTCAATCAGATGGCTATCCAGTTCCTGGGATACAACACCAGCCCTGAAGGAATTCAGTTGGATGAGGGGAAGGTGGAAGCAGTTAAATTCAGGCCCCTTTCCACCACTATCAAGGAAATTTTATGCTTTCTATGCTATGCCAACTTCTAACACCACTTCATCTAGAACCATAATTCCATCCCTGCTCTGTTAACATCCTTGCTCAAATCTAATCCTAAGTCTCTGTCCTGGACCCAGCCCACACCTTCCAACAACTCAAGTAAGTGTGCAAGTCGGCTCATCTACTAATCCATTCAGATACAAACAAACTCAAATGAAGGTGATGCCTCTACCTCTGGCATGGAAGCCATTTTGCCTCACCAGCAAGGAAAGCCTCCCATCTATGTGCCATCTCCAATAAGCTTTTCCCGTGGAGCAGAATTACGACAACAGCAACCGGGAACTTTTTTGCCATCAACCTTGTGTTGGAAGAGTGGTGGCATTGGCTGAAGGGAGCCCATCATCCTTTCCTGGTGTTAATGGATCACCTACAGTACATTCGAAAAGCTTTCCTCTTAAATCCCGTTCAAGAACATTGCGCCCTCTTCTTTACCCACTTTAACTACTCCATCTTATTTCATCCAGGGACCAAAAATATCAAGGCTGATGCTTTGTTTTGCCTCTATTTAATTGGCCTCGGAGGAACCTAAAACCATCTTACCTCATCAAATCATCCTCGGTCCAGTGGTGCATAGATGATCACATCACAGAGGCTGCCACCACGAGCCTGCTTCGCGGGTTGTCCTGTGAATAAGACATTTTTCCCATCTCTCAATGTCTTCCACTCATGGGATCAGTGTTACCATCTGGGAAACTGTTTCTGCTCCCCATGGCCCATTGTCACACCTGGTGGGTGTACCTAAGTGCTCGTCTCTGTAGCTCATTTCTCCAAAGAGAATTATTTCTGATTCTTCTCAACCGCTTACCCAAGGCCATGGAAACTGCAGAACTCCTCTTCAATCACATAATGCTTTCAATAATGCTTAAGCTCTGTATGCCATAAATTATGAAGCAAGAACCCCCATAAGGAACCATATCGCCAAAGATTACAAGATAAATTGGGTTTAATAAACTCAAAGTAACTTGCCAAAGTGGTCCTGTCTGAACTAGGTGTAACCATTAACCTGTTATCTAGATATCAACCACAAAGCGACGGACAAACCAAAATCAAAATTCAGAAGATTGGTTGCTTCCACTGTACCCTCTGTCATCACTGCCAGAACAAGTGGAGTCACTTCCTGTCCTGGGCTAAGTATGCATCGAACTGACTCCGCCATTCCTCCAGGAAGCCCACCCTCTTCCGATGCATGCTCAGTTACCAACCTCCTCTATTCCCATGGTCTCGGACAGTTAGAGCGTCTAGGACTTAGCTTACCAACACCTTCAACGGGGTGTGCCGTGCCAGAAGAGCCACACCGATGCCCTGAAATCAATGCTTCCAGCTATCAGCCTGTAGCCTGGATGCCAGCCCGAACTCCACCCATAACATTTTTTTGGTCGGGAAGTTCGGTCAGGACTCGATCCATTGAGGAGAATTTTTGATCTGGCAAAAAACCTTCGGGCCAATCAAATTTCCAGGGCGGGCTTTATACGATGATGGACAGATGATCTGCAAGGACGTAATCGCGTTGTCAAAGATGACTGCAGCTGGAGAATTGAGATGTATAGATTCCACTGTCGTGTCTGTTGTGAAATAAATCGACAGCGCATTTATTTTAATAGACAAACAGAAAACTGCAATCAAGGCATTTGTCGATCGGAAAGATATTTTTGCCGCCCTTCCTACATGATTCGGCAAAAGTGTAACTTATCAGCTGGCTCTGACGGTCGCTAAGAAGATGTGACGTAATGAAAAGCCTGTGGTCATTGTGGTTTCTCCTTTGGTCGCACTCTTGGAGGATCAAGTAAAAGAAGCAACACTCGTTATTTTACTTCTAAAATAAGTAAGTTCTGTTGTTGACAACTGAATGCAAAGAAGTTGACTTACTGCGTTGCTCTGATTGGTTGTAGGTTTACCGACTATCCAATTGAGTGCAGAGTTTTGTTTTTTCATGGTTTGGTTAAGACACGCCTCATAATCAAAGCCCTACGGAGGAGTTTCGGACTCATATTCAGACAAGAATATGAGTATGATGAAGTCAGGCTAATCAGCCTGGGCAGAAAGTGTGGCTCTCCACATTCGGCTCTATCTCCCCTGCAGAAAGTCCCTGTTATATTTGTCCATTGTTAAACAAATCAACCCAATAACTTGCCAGCTCAAGCTCCTTCCACAAAATCATGTTCATCCTACCTTCCACTTATTCCTTCTAAACCTCACCATCCTTCTCCATGATCTCCATCCACAGTACCTAGTACGGTTTTGTGTCTCCGTAACAAAGGCAACACAAGTACTTTTTTCAAAAAAGTCTATTGATGATTTTCAAGTAGGTTGTCATATTAAAAATTATATTTGTAAATTATATAGTACATTCAGTTTTGAAGTATGAAATATAACATCTAAATAATTATGACTATTATTTACAGTGAATTTTTGACAAGATACCATTTTTGACAGCGTTGCAGTGTGTGTAATCTGTAAATGCGTAGGCTACTTTATAGTGAACACACACATACTAAGAAACACACCCAATGAAGAATTCAAGATTTAGTAAAAGATCCAAAAATTGTTTACAGTGGCCCTGCCCCGACTGCCCACTAGCATTTTCCATGCCATATGTGTCATGGAATTGGTTTGAAATTACATTTGAGCTAAATGTCAAAGGCTCTTTAAGTTAACACTCTGTCAGAGTGAAGCAAAGTTCACATCTCTTGTCCTGCACTCTCTTTGTGCTGAATTAAATGTGACCGATTATTGACACTGTTTCCTGATATTTAAAAAAAAAAAAAGTCAACCAAAAAATAAAACCATTTTCACTCAACTTTGTAGAGTATAACTATAGTTTTATCATTATTTTATTATTATTATTATTATTTTATTCTTTGATTGTATAACCACAATCAAACCATTCGCATTCATTAATGTCTCTGGCACAAACGATGCAGGATGAATTATGTGCTGTTTAATATTTTAAAGTAATATTTTAAAGTTTAATATGAAGGTTAAGAGATTTTTTCATATCAAACAAAAGTTTTGGACCTGGTCTGCACTCTAAAAGCAGTTCCCATGCTTTCTTTATGTCTGTTTCTGACTAATAATGCAAAAGAACTCAAAGCCATCTGCAGAGGTGAACCTGAGCCATACAGTGCACCTCATCACATCGGCCACAATAGCTGTGCTTTTCCATTAGCCTGGATGGAGTAAGTCGGTGGAAACGGGCCTTGGGAGACTTGTTTAAGAGAGTGGATTTCAGTCTGGAAGCCAAAGTTTCAATAGCTGCATCTGTGTTTCGGGTTAAGCAGACTTGACCTATTCTTCTTTTTATGACTTTCCAAATGGAACATTCATATCCGCAAGCACTCGGGTTCAGTGCTTGTCCTCTACTTGTCCTCTTGAATCAGGACAAACTAATCTTTTAGATCCACATCCCAACAGTGAGATCAACGAGATGAAAACAAAAAAGCTGCTGAAATTAATTGTTTGGCTTTTTTCCGGTTGAATTCTGATCAAAGATCAGTCATATTTAATATAGCTAAATATTTACAATGGCAATAATTTCTTGTCTCACAGCTTTCATTTGAATGAGTTGTGTTTTTTTTTAAATATATTTTATCTCTGATTTAAACTTGACTTAAGAAATGGCATTTGAGAATACATACCATTCAAAAGTTCAGAGTTGTTGTTCTTTTCTTTTTTTTGGGGGGGGGGGGTTCTTCAGCAAGGATGCTTTAAATTGATCAAAAGTGACAATAAAGACATTTATAATGTTGCAAAAGATCTCTAATTCAAATTAACGGTTCTTTTCAAACTTTCTATTCGTCAAAAAATCATTACTTTTTCACACAAAAATTAAGGAGCACAACCGTTTTCAACAATAATAATAATAAAACATTTCTTTAGCATCAAATAATTACATTACAATGATTTCTGAAGGATTGTGTGACACTGAAGACTGGAGTAATGATACTGGAAATTCAGCTTTGCCATCACAGGAATAAATTACATTTTAAAATATATTTGTTACATTTGTG